GCTATTCTCTTGCTGCTTTTAAGATTCTATCTTTGTCCTTGACCTTTTGCATTTTAATTATGATGTGCCTTGGTGTGGGCCTCTTTGGGTTCATCTTGTTTGAGAGTTTTTGTACTTCCTGGATTTATATGTCTATTTTCTTCATGATGTTAGGGAATTTTTCTGTCATTGTTTTTCAAATAGGTTTTCAATTTCTTTCTCTCTTTCTTCTCCTTTTAGTACCCTCATGATGCAAATGTTGGTATGCTTGAAGTTATCCTAGAGACTCCTTAAACTGTCCTCATATTTTTGGATTTTTTTTTGCTGTTCTGATGCGGTATTTTCTGCCTCCTTATCCTCCAAATTGCTGATTTGATCCTCTGCTTCATCTACCTACTGTTGATTCCCTGTAATATATTCTCCATTTCAGTAACTGTATTCTTCATTTGTGACTGGTTCTTTTTTATATTTTCTATCCCTGTCCTTGTTTCCTCTTTCCTTGTTGAAGTTCTCACTGAGTGCATCTACTCTTCCCCTAAGTTTATTGAACATCTATATAACCACTGTTATTGGCCCCTGCTTCTGGTAGATTGCTTGTCACCATTTTATTTAGTTCTTTTTCTGGAGGCTTGTTCTGTTCTATTCCTTTTTTTTTCCATTAGGGACATGTTTATTCGTCTCCTCATTTTGCCTATCTCTCTGTCTTTGTGTCTAAGTATTAAGTAGAGACGCTACATCTCCCAATCTTGGTAGAGTAGTCTTATGTAATAAGTACCCTATAGGGCCCAGTGGCACATTCCTGGTCACCCAAGCTGGGCACTCCAGCTATGTCCCCTTGTGGGCTGTGTGCATCCTCCTGTTTTAGTTGAGCCTTGATTGCTGTTGGCATGTCAATTTGAGGGAATTACCCGCCTCCCCCCCCCACCCCCAACTGATAGATTGGGAGAACTGGCTATGACTTCAGGGGAGGAACTGCTCGACCCTATAGAGCAGGACTGCTTCAGTGAGGTTCTGGTACTTAATAAGTCTGCCCCTTGAGTGTGTCATTTGTGGAGGTGGTTGGGTGGTCTTCTGCTGTGGTCTGTAGCTGACCACTGGTTCTGGGGCCTCCTGGGAGGTACAGACCAAGACCATCTGCCACCTCTGCTCAGCTCAGGGCCACCCAGCATGAGCTACAGAGGGATCTGCATTTGGCTGCTACTTGTGCTGGGCTTAGAGGTGCCTAGGTGAGGCCAAACTGCGAACCAGGGCAGGCTGCCACTAGTGTTGGGGATGGGGTCACATAGCAAGAGGAATGGGGCATATTGAGGCCAGATACTGCTTGTTTGGGGTTTGCGAATCTTTGAGAGATTTTAGGAAAGTCCACAGCATGAGCCAAGACTGGCCACTTGTATGGAGAAGCCACTGGAAAAGGATCTGTTGTGCCCATAACTTAGGTAAGATGGGTCTCAGGGAATCACCAAGGTGAGGGAACATTGTTAGCCTTTCATCTCTGTGTGGGGAGGGCTCATCAAGGAACAATGGCCTCTGCCAGAACTTTTCTGTCTGGGAAAAGGCTTCACCTCCAACTCTTACCCCAAAGCCAGACAATTCAGTTCCTTCCCATGTGTCCCTGGTGGCTTTTGAGCTGCTGCCCAAAGCTGGAGTTCAGAGTTACTGAGTTTATATTCACGTATGTGGGACCCTTTAAGAAGAATGCCTGAGAGTCCAGCAGCCCTCCATCTCACTCAGACATAATCCCTGCTGGTCTTTATAGCCAGAAGTTATGGGGACTTCTCTCTCTCTCTCTCTTTCTCTCTCTCTTTTTTTTTTTTCAAGCCTCACCAAGGATATGTCTTTATTGATTTGAGAGAGAGAGGAAGGGGGTGGGGAGAGAGAAATATTGATGTGTGAGAGAAACATCAATTGGTTGCCTCCAATACATGCCCTGACCAGGGATTGACCTGCAATCCTTTTGCTGTATGGGATGATGCTCAACCAACTGAGCTACCCGGCCAGGTATTAGGATTTGTCAGGGGGGGACCTCTGTAGCCAAAATAACCCTCCCATCTTTTAACTACCGCCCATGGGTGTGGGACCAGACTGTTCCTTGTCTCCACCCCTCCTACCAGTCTCGATGTGGCTGCTTCCTTATAGCCTCAGTTATAGTACTGCTGTTCTAGATTTCAGGCAATTCTTGAATAATGGTTGTTCTGTACTTAGTTATCATTTTGATGGGGTTATGGGAGATTGCGAGTACTGATTGCGAGTACTATGCTGTTTATTTTTGCATACATTTAAAAACTGGGTACATATAAGCATTCTATTGAAAGACATTTTGGAATGAGGATGAAGATAATGAAGGTGATGAGATAAATAATATTGACTTAGTGATTCATATGTTCCAGGCCCTGTTTTAGCCATTCTGCATATATTTTTAAAATTAATCTCCATATCAATCCTGTGATGCCTTTATCCTCTATTACAGATAAGAAAGTAGTAGGACAGCCAGGTAGGTAATTTGCCCAATGTCCATAACTAGTAATTGGATATTTTTAAAGCATTTTCTTATGATATTGAATATTTCATAAATCTCATTTTAAATGCCTGAGTAGAGTTTTATTGCATGTATACATCATAATTGTTAGATATTGAGATTATTTCCAGTTTGGGTACCTTTCAGATAATGCTGTTCTGAACATCTTTGTTGACAATTTTAGTTATTTCCTCATGATAGATATCTGGACATAAACTGATGTGCCAAGGGTTGAAGATATTTATGGCTCTTCACATTGCCAATTGCTTTCTAGGAAGACAGTTTCCACGTATAATCCATGAGATAGTATATGAGGATATATTTATCCTATTACACTTTATAAGTATTAACATTTAATGATATCTTTATTAGTTAGAAAAGTAAAAATATGTCCTATATATTTTTTAAATTTAGTAACATGAATTTTATTGTTGTTGTTGTTACCAATCAGTGGGACTGCTCACAGCACACAGAGAATTAGGGATGGACGACACCCCCATTCTCCGATGAGAAAATGTAATGAATAAATCAGTTCTAGAGCCTAGTATCTTGTGTTTATTCTTCTTGGTAACCTTGGTCACTGCTTGTTATTCATAAGCACTGATTCACTACCAAGTATGCATATTTGATACATGAGTTTCTACATAGATGCAACCCTATCTAGTAGTAAAAGAGAGGAACAAAACAACCTAACTAGACAACTAGGTTACACTACATTAAGTTTGATACACACATTATCCAGCCTTAAAACAAGAAAAAAAGCAAGCAAGATAGGCAATGAACTGTGTACATTGTTAGCAAATTTGATTGGCACTCAATTCAAAAGTTAATAGCAATGTTGAGAAGAGTCCCTTGTAACAGTTCTGTTAGTCAGCAGGGTTTTCCCCTAATTTTCTGGTTCCTGGCTGTACAGTAAGTGTAGATAAGGAAGGTATGCAGGAAATTGAATTAAATATACAATGTTTCCTGTATATGGAATGTTGGCTACATGGTAAAACTTGGGCCTATAATGGCAGTATTTGGAAATTCTTTTCTGAAAACTAACATGCAAGAAAAAACTGGTTAATGTGAGGTTGTACTTATGTCAGTTAAACTAAAATGCTGTTAAAGTTCCCTGTATTATTACTCTAGAAATATTTACTGATCATTTTGTTGGGTCTGTTGGTTTAGTTTCAACTGCCTTCAAGTAGATATCGCTAATATAGGGATAGATTTATGTTTAGAGAGAGATGGTTCAAAGTAGCAGAACTGCCTGTGTTAAAAATGCTGACTTTTCATTGATTAGCTGTGTGACTTTACTCAATTTGTTAGACTACTCTTTGCCTCAGCTTACTTATCTGTAAAATGTAGATAATACTATTATCAAACTCATGAAGTTTCTGTGAGGAAAAAATGAGATAATTAGCAGAAGCTCTTAGTACTTGGCACACAGTAAGTGCTAAATAAATATTACCTATTCTTATTACTACTACTAAATAATAAGTATTCTTGATATTGTTATTCTATGTATTCCAACTATTACTACTAAAGAAAGTTGCTTGCCTCCTCCCTCTTCATCAGGCTAAGGCTTTATACATAGTGTTAGCATAATTGCAACTATGTTTCTGGAGTCAGTCTGCCAGTTAGTCAACCTGGAAGTACTTCTTGGTCATGGCGAAAAGAACACCTGAACATCTGAGGCTCGTACAGTGTTGGCCCAGTTCATGCAGCTGGGCTTCTGTTTCAAGAGGGAGAATAGTTTCTCATGATGGAGGTTGGTCTCAAGATTTTGAATAACTTCATTGTAAATACTACTTATTTCAGATTGCAGGCAGATTACTTCACTCTGAGGTCTAGTTGCCCATCTCTACAGCCTTTTAGGGTGACATGACTTCCCTTTAGAGGGCTGTGGTTTGGTGCCTTGCTGGCTATGCCTCTCCCAGGCCTGGCTTCATGGATGAGAGACCTATGTTAGAGACGACGCTGCACTCAGAAAGATCCTGTGTTTGGTTTACTGCTCTGCTGTAGTTGTCTTGAAATTCTTAATGATTTTGTCTTTGGGCTGATGTTTGTAAGTGAAGTCTGATGGGATAATGCATCATGTATTTATTTATTTATTTATTTATTTATTTATTTATTTATTTATTTATTTATTTATTTAATTGTTTAAAGCATTACATATGTCTCCTTTTCCTCCTGAGTAGAGGAGATGCATGCAATAGGTGTGTCTTCCATTTCTTGCCACTCCATTTGCATATAATAACATTCATGATGTCTCATGACTACAGAATTTGGTTAGATACCCAATGTAGTGGAGTTCAGTGAGACTCGAACTGAGTACAAAGTGAACCTGCTGCATTTGTGGCTGAGTAAGCAGTTCCCTGTCAGCCTAGAGAGGCTGTGATTCCAGTTTGATCAAGAACTTTGAATGCAGAAAGAAGGCAGTGACATTCTGAGAAACACAAATGCCCCAGAAATTGTATCGAATCCTTTATTACTTATGCTATTTCCCTTTGTATCCAACTAGTTACGTTGAAGATGATGACCGAGAAGAAAAGAGAAAAGGAGGACAACCCATAGTATATTTTTCCTTCAGCCCTTCCTTCCTTATCAGGGAGCCTAAGGTAAGTAGCATATAGCAATACATGAAATAAAAACACTTGAGTCAGTTTTGTGCAGTGTTTTTACTGCTTTAGCAAGAATGAAATACACATGCAAGAATGAGCTATAAAAATATATAAATTGTGTATTCCATATACAAGTTAAATGTCTTATACTCACATTTAGAACTGGCATTGCACAATATAAAGATGAATGGCAAAAAGTCATATGAATACTTTAAAATAGCAATTTTTCTTTATTGAGAACAACTTTAAAGAACAAATAGAAAACACCATGACAAGCTTAGAAAAACTATAGAAGAAAGGAAAAAGTCTTTATATTTTAGTAGCTTTGATCACAGCATTTTCAATGCTGTTGAACAAGGTTGTCCTGCATTTTCATTTTGCATTGGTCCCTCAAATTAATGAGTTGGCCCCATGCTCTTTCTATGGGGTGAGTAGTCCGTAGTCCAAGGGTTGTGCCCACCCAGTGAGTGACCTCTCATCCCTTTGAGAACACACAGCAAATACCTGACATCTGATATTCCCTGATAAGTCATGATCCTTTCATGACCTGCATAGACTAGAACTGACTTGGATGCCAGGGTCAGTCCTGCCTAGAGCTGATTGCTCAATGGTGCATAAATGCCCAGACAGCAGAGAGGATAAAGGGCAACTGTTGATGTAGTATGTGGGCTGATGGGGCCACACCCGTGTAGGTGAGGTACCTGAGGGTGAGTGAGGGTGAGGAGTGGAGTTGGGCAGGATAGGAAGAAGACAGTGCTCCATGGCTCATCCGTCCCTCAGCCACCATGTTCCAACAGGATATGGGAGGGGTCCAAGAGTTTTAAATTGGAACCTGGCCTTCCAAGTCATTATGAGGGTATATTTGTCAAAATAGGAGATTACACATTTTAACAGCTCGTTAACCTGATTTGTAATATTTGCAAACTTGGACCTATGGTATGTGGGTCTCTATTTGTACTTTGCCCCACAGGCTCCTTATTCTCATGGAAGGTCTCCTTATTCTCATGGAGTGTGTAGAGCACTTAGTGCCTAGCACTTAGTAAAAACCCAGTAAATGTTGGCCACTATCAGTATCAGATAATATCACAAATAACAATGATAATAATGTAACACCATACTGGGGTAGCAATACTTATATTTGACAAAATAGACCTCAAAGTGAAGGCCGTAAGAAGAGATAAGGAAGGCCACTTCATAATTCTAAAGAGATCAATACAACAAGAGGATATGACTCTGGTAAATACATATGCACCCAATACAGGAGCACCCAAATACATAAAAAAAAAAACCTCTGGAAGTTATCAATGAAGAGATCATCAGCAATACGATCATAGTAGGGGACTTTAATACCCCATTGACACACCTGGATAAATCTTCTAGACAAAAAAAAATCAACAAAGGAACAGCAATCCTAAAGGACTCACTAGATCAGATGGAACTAATTGACGTCTTCAGAACATTTCACCCCAAAGATACGAAATACACATTCTCTCCTTTGGCCAAGGTCCTGAAACACTGCTCACCTCTCTCCCCTCTACAGCTCTTCCTCACTTCCAGTCAGTGGGGTTATCGTGATAGTGGCAGTATTGTGTTCTGCTTTACAGACCCCAGTTACTAAGGCCTTGCTCTGGATGGGTTGCCTGGATCTTTAAAGTACTGCCCTGGGTCCCACAGCCACGCCCTGTGAGTAGGATTAGCTGGGTCCTGGGCCTGCCTGAATCACGCATGAGCCCAGCATGCCCTCTGCAGTTTGAATTGTGCTGTCCTTTCTGCAGCTAATCACCTGCATTTTGTTTTTCTCCTAATGCATTTGGAATTATTTTTGAAATTTAGGAAAGATTTATCTCTGTGACAGTTAAGATAGGCTTAAGAAGAACCATTTATCATGTTTCACATTTTAATTGGGTGCCAGGAACTGAGTTAAAAAAGATTTTTCTGAATTACAATAACTATGCATTGCTTAGGCTTTATAATTCAATGAATTTCCTGTCCTCATTATTTACTTCTTACCTAGATTGTCATCTTTGATGGCTTGTGTGAAAATGTAATGTGAACCTCTTTGAACACTGTTTTGTTGATTTGCCTTCTCTTTCTTTGTTTTATGAATCCCTCTGAAAAACATGGTCGGGAAGTGTATTCTTTGGAAAGATTTTGGCCTTTCTTCAAAAATCTGAAACCATGTAGAATTATTTGGGGGTAGGTAGAATCCTTTCAGGCCATATGTCAGGTAGTTGATTATTTATTTTTTATTTTTTATTTTATTTATTTACTAGAGGCCCGGTGCATGAAATTTTTGCATGGGTAGCATCCTTAGGCCTGGCTGATGATAAGGGCCAATCTGTGGGGCGACCGGCGGGGTGATTAGGAGCCCCGCTTGCACCCACCTTGGCTGGCCTTGTGCCACCTGCTTGCTGGCCCCACCCCCGCTGCCACTGGTCAGGGCCTGCGGGCTGGGGGCAGCTCCTGCGTTGAGCATCTGCCCCCTGGTGGTCAGTGTGCATCATAGCAACCAGTTGTTCCCTAGTTGTTCTGCTGTTCCATCGATTTTCATATTAGGGTTTTATATAGATAGATTTTTAATTTAAGTTCTTTATTGTTTAATGCAGCGGTTCTCAACCTGTGGGTCACGATCCCTTTGGCGGTCGAACGACCCTTTCACAGGGATCACCTAAGACCATCCTGCATATCAGATATTTACATTATGATTCATAACAGTAGCAACATTACAGTTATGAAGTAGCAACGAAAATAATTTTATGGTTGGGTCACAACATGAGGAACTGTATTTAAAGGGCCAGAAGATTGAGAACCACTGGTTTAATGTATTACATAAGTCTCCTTCTCCCGCCCCCATTGACCTCTCCCCAGCCACCCCCAACCCCCAGCACATGCCCTTCCTCCCCCTCCCCCCGATATGTCTAGTAGTTTTTTAAAGTATAGTTTTAAAAGCACAGTGCTTATATTCTCTCTCTCTCTCTCTCTCTCTCTCTCTCTCTCTCTCTCTCTCTCATTCTTTTGCTGCTGTTGATATCACCAATTATCACTGAGCGAATGGAAAGAATTAGATCTCTAGGATCATTCCAGAGGACGTTTGGCAGTAGAATTTGCCCGGCATGTAAGATGCAGAGATGGAGTTTTTTTTCTCTCCAATCTTTAATTTCTTTATTGATTAAGGTATTACATATGTGACCTCATCCCCCCATAACTACCCCCCTCCTACTCATGCTCTCATCCCCCTGTTGTCTGTGTCCATTGGTTGGGCTTTTATGCATGCATACAAGTCCCTTGGTTGATCTCTCCCCCTTACCCCCACCCTCCCCTACCTTCCTTCTGAGGTTTCTCCCACTTGGTTTCACCTCCTTGTTTTATAATTATAGCCAGACATCATGAAAGTGGAATCCTCACTTCTCTGGCAGACACCACATGTAAAAGCCTCCCAAACCCTGGACTCTTGAAATAGATGCTTCTCATACAATAGTGCCTACTTGCATTGTTAATTGCCTGCTTGCTTGTTTATAGGTCAACTGGCTATAAACTCCTTGAGAGTGGAATCCGTACCTGGCTTCTTTACCCATTGTGTCCTTGGCATCTAACACAGCACTTGCAGTACTATGTGGATACTTAAAATTTTGGCTGACTAGATAAATAATTACCTCAAGTACATAGACAGTACGCTTAATGCAAAGCTATGGGTGTTTTGGACAGGTGTCATGAGAAGACAAGTTTATTGGACAATTGAAGGGACTTGAAATGACACACTAAGATATGTAGGGGCTCTATAGAGGAGGCGATTATGGACAGGGTAAAAAGAGTCAATCAAATGATGAGAGGTCACCATGAAATTAAAAAAACCAGTTCGCTGGGGTAGTAAGTGAACAACTCAGAGGAGAGGTTGTGGCCAGAGTAAGATACTGGATTTTAAGATTTCATTGGGGGAGCGATTTTAGGTCATTGCTATGTCTAGATTGTAGTATGCCTTGGAGGTATTAAGGTCAAACCATGTGGAGTTGCTAATATTCTCCCGCTTTTTATTTACAAAAGGCCCTTTCATGATGAAGTCCAATAGTTTGATGAAGTCTAGTGTAGATGGGGTGAATATCATGAACTTTTAAAATTAAGATATTGATAAAGTTATTCATATAGGTTCTGACACCAGGTAGAGTGACTGTAGGAGATTACGTGGGGAGGAGTGTTGTGACTCAGGTGCCTGTCTTGGGTGAGATTGGTAGATGACAGTGAAGAGAGGGATGAAGGATGGCATGGTATAGGATAGAAGCGTTGAAAACAACACCAACAAAGCCATGAGACCATAGGAGTATGCCTCGTTTGGAAGTTGCAGAGGAGAACTTAGAGAATACTTCTCCCCAGCAGACTCTTCTAGAAGAAAGGGAGTCTTCAAATAAAAGTTCAGCCGTGGCTGGGTTGGCTCAGTGGATAGAGTGTTGGCCTGTGGACTGAAGGGTCCAGGTTTGATTCCAGTCAAGAGCATGTACCTTGGTTGCAGGCTCCATCCCCAGCCCCTGTCGAGGTGCGTGCAAGAAACAACCAATCGATGTGTTTCTCTCACATTGATGTTTCGCTTTCTCTGTTTCTCCCCCTCCCTTGCACTCTCTCTAAAAATCAATGAAAAAAAACAAAAACCCTTTGGTGAGGATTATCAAACGAACAAAGTTCAGGCTCAGTTAAGTAAAGGAGGCAGAGAAGACATTCTCAGAGGAAGGAGGATAAAGCTGTGTTTCCAGAAGAGAAAGCCTAGGTAGGAGAGAAGCTTTAATTTGAAAATTTTAAGTTACCAATGCATAGGATCTATTCACCAGATTTACCCATTTACTTAAGTGACCTATCAGACACTAAAAAAAAACTAAGGTCATTGTGCAGTAATGATGGCTTAAAGCAAAACGTTGGTTTATTTTATCATATGTAACAACCCATTTTCACTTTGCAACAAGCTGGCCTTTAACCCAGAGTACATAAGAATGTTTCCTTTGCTATTATCT